CCCCAAAACCCCAAAACCCCAAAACCCCTTTGTTAAGGAAATCCTTAAATTTGGAAATTAGAGTGGTCGAATATCTTTGAAGGTATCCACTAAATAGATCAGAAATAATGACTGATAGCTCTGAACCGCTTCCTCAGCCAGATAGCCTCATGAATGCACTAAAGAGATTCCATAGCATTGTCTCTGACGAAGAGAAGTACATGTCAAGTAAGCTCATAGCATACAATACAAGTAACGAATTCTCCTTAAAGAAGATGGAAGAGATCCATGGCATCAAGAAATTTGAACTGATTAACTTCCCATGGATTGGCTACCAGCCTAAGCAATGTGATATATGTAGAGAGAAAGACTCATGTGATAAAGATCCTCTAGTCCAGTGCTCTATCTGTAAGTTCTACGTGCATAAAAACTGTTACTCAAGACCTATCTCTCCAGTGGTGTCCTGGATCTGCCAAAGATGTATATTTATACTAGAGAATCCAGACTTTTCTCACTTAAAATTGTGCTGAGCCCTCTGTAAGTCTTTCAAAGGACTCCTGACTCTAGTCCAGAATGAGTACTGGGTTCATATAGAGTGAGTATTTTGGTGTCCAATGCTGTCATTCGAGGATTCTGTGGAGAAAGACACTGTAATAGGCAACTTTGACCCTATTGCAGTGTCTAAAAATATGTCGATTTGTCTATATTGACAAAAGAAAGGCATCATTCTCACAAAATGTGACTATCCAAGTTGTAAGATTAAGTTCTGAACACGCTGTGCTGGATTCTACAGATGGATTATAAAAGGCTGCACCCAGATGGAGAAGCAGGAAGGAGAGAACGGACAGCTTCTATTTTGAGAGTTTCACCAGCAAGAAGGTATTAAAAAGATTGTCAAACAAAAACAAACTAAGCTCAGTGAGTTTTACTTGGAGGATAAGAAGGTATTGGATGTCATGGAGCCAATAAACAAGATCTCCGAGAGGCTAAACGAAGTATGAAAAGCTAATAAAGAGATCAAGAGTCAAAATAAGAACTTTAACCTCAAGCATGAAAAATTAGAAACTAAGGTATGAACTCTTCAAAACATAAGCATTGCAGATAATCCTGGATCTCCTTCACCCGAACTTCCATTACAACCTTCTCTCGAATCTCTAGGACTGGGTGGAATAGAAATAGAGTTTTCCAAGGAGAATGAATACGGAGGAACTGATGCATCACAAGTATTTAATACCTCTAGATCCTACTTTGCACACAAAGCCCATTGACTTACCAGACTCAATCCAGAAGCTTCTCTCGCTTGCTTCAACTTGTCCTGAAAACGAAGTCGTTTCAAAATTTCGCCATTACTGTGCCAATAGTGACATCTTCACTTGTGACAAGTCCATGATTCTTTTGTACAAATCAAAGCCTCTTTTCGATATATTTTCAGTTGAGGCCATCAACAATGAACATGAGGAAATCATCAGCCTCATTAAAATAAACACTTAATTACTAGTAAGGATTTTATCAATGGCATGTGGGATCTGGTAACCTTCGAATATGGGAACGGTTTCGGTCACCCCATCACCTGAGTCTACTACAATAACTGTTGTTCTCCTTGAAGAGTACAGGGATAACACAGCCTGGATCTGGATGAACATTGCAGGGACGCCATACTCTTCAAAAATTAATCCTAGTCATATTCTCTCTGTTGCTCTTAGGATTAAGAGGCGCTTCTGTGAGCATCACAGGGTGTTCTGATGGCTCCTCACGAAGCTCATTGTAGTATGTATAGTCCCATATCTTCTTCATCTCATCCCAGTTGCTAACAATTCCATGGGCAATAGGCTACTTTATCATACAGACTCCTTTCTCACCTTCTGCTTCCTCACCAATGTAATAATCCGTCTTCTTTCCATGACTAAGGACATTAACAGCCTTAAGCTAATCAATCAGGGAGGGAAAGATGACACTAGGAGTATTAAACCCAGCGAGGCCAGCCTTGACGACCCCTGATCCATTATCAATAACAATAGGAGTTAGAGTACTTCCTTCAGAACTCATTATGTCTCTATATTAAGGTTGACTAATCATGAGTCAATATATATAACCAAGGGGTTTTGGGGTTTTGGGGTTTTGGGGTTTTGGGATTGGGGTTTTGGGG